AGACAACAAAACAAAAGTTATTTTCTCAGATTATGACTGACCTACTAAACTTTGCGGGTCACGAGATAGATCCCATAAAAATTATTTGTAGTTGATCCAACAAAGTTAGAACTAGGGAAATCATTGTCCTATCGAATAGTTTTTGCCTTTTTTCCAACTCTTAAATGAGCTAAATAAACGTTTCTTTGTTAGATTGTAATTGGAGAAGGTCTCAAAAGATCAAAAATCAAACCTCACTTGTTTAATTGACTGTATACATGAAATAGTAATATACTCTACGTTCTTACAATTTTTAAATATGAGTTAAATCACTATTTGTGCAATGTGATGCAGAAAGGCATGAGAGATGCGATAGCCAAAAAGTTTTCAAAGATGAAAGCTTGGAGCAACGCAAGAGTATTGTAATTAAGACAAAGCTTGAATCCATAAGCAAAGAAATGTTCGAAGAAAAAAGTACTACCTGCTTCATAAAGTCGGTTACAATCTTCAAATCGCTATCACCTGTATTTATAACAAACCGCCAATCTGGATGCAACGTCTTTTGGAGACGCACCAAGTTAGCACAATCGTGAAGTCTATAATTCAACTATAAAATTAAGAAAATGAAGATACGATAGCAAAGTAAAAGATGAGCAAAAGAAATTTTGGTTGCTGCTCAGTACTAACCTCCCACGGCCTCCAAAGAAATTTAATAGCGGTGGAATATTCCCATTGAGAGCGAGATAAAAAACCATTGTTCCAAAGTGTCGAGTGGAATGTAAAACGTCAAAGTCGCCTTTCTCAATGACACGATCAAATATGCATTGGACAAGCTAAACTTAGCGATGTTTTTAGTATACATAAACTTCACTTAAAATTTTCGAACTTCCTCTACCTTCACGTAAGCCGGATCATCTGGTTCAAAGAACCAACAGGCCCAATCAAGCACAAACTCATGCTCTTTTCTATCCAAGGCGTCCTAAAAGGCTTATCATTATCAATATTAGCGGCGTTAACAACTCAATTCACTTGAAGGTAAGGATCCTCAAAGACTGGTGGTGGGAATACAGGTCGATTTGGTTTTTCATAATAAGTTCTGTTCATACGATCGTGTTCCTCTGGAGTGGCTGTGCGAAGGGTACCGTCAACTTCACGTACTACAACAGTACGATCCTAAACTTGAATTTACATTAGCGCTAAAAATAGCTAACAATTTAAAAATAACAGTGCTAAATGGTCGTCCATGCTAATCTCACTGGAAATTCAAAGCAAAGGATATCCTCTAAAAACTGCAACCTCGAAGAAAAATAAGAGTTTTTGCTCATTTCTAATGAAAAACTCATACGCGTAGTAACTGTGAATAAAATGCTACTTTGGCATCAATTGGAAAATATGCCACTGAACATACATAAAAAAGCAGAAAAAAA